CAGTGAAACTGTAGAACAAACAAGCTATTATTTTGTGCCTTAATTTACCATAAGGATTACAGAATTAGCTATCTCCCAATAGGGATTGTTTGCAAAATCGTATCATAAATATCAGCTTGACACCAATACAAGTTTATAAAACCAAGTGATGATTTGTATTTAAATGAGTAATGACACGACGTTATTTAGCGTTAATTAAAGAGCGATTCAAACGTGACAAAGCCTTGGTTGAGGGTGGACACTGGACAGTGTTTACAGAGTTTGTACAAACCCCGCATCTCGACTTCCTTTGATGATTTGACGTCATCTAACCCTTCATGTTTATTTTTGTACCAATCTGAGTTTTACTAAGGCTTTGAATTAGGAACTAGATATGTCACTATATCAAATGCATTGCGACCATTTATGACTAAAGCGTTTACTATAAGTATAGTGAGGCTACTACTATAACATGTACTAATTACTCACTACTCATTGTGACCTAAAATACTCAAAAGCTAGTTGGCAAGCATATAACAGTAAAATAAGAATATGCATTAGAAAAGATACTGTTTACAAATGGCATCTAATGAATCGTCTTTCATATCCGTTCCAGCACCTTCTAGGCTTTTTTTCTTCTTGAATGCACTGCCCACTACTGCAAGAAATTAAAGTAGGTCTTGAGAACACAATGTTATATACTTGTTGATGTCAACCATCAGTTGTAAGTATAGTATAAACCAGACTTTGCATATGTATATGTATATTTAAAATCTATGTTTGCACTAGATGTTACCCAGCGCGCGTTGTTACGCTAAGAACTATTATTTTAAATGGCAATTTGTTCTTTACGATAAATAATAAAAACGTATACGAAAAACAAAAATAGAATATTTATTTGTCTTAATAAACAAAGTGGATAAACAAAGTTTTTTCTATTAAGTGGATAAATATATATATTTTTTACGATAGTCAGGGATCGCCCTTGTGCCTTATAATGGTGATTGCGAAAACAAGACGCAAAGTAAATTGTAGTCGCTTGAATTCAAAGGGTTATTCCGATGAAATCATCGGTATTCTTGGGATTAAGGCTAATTCTCCTTTAAATTTACTAAACCTACAAAATAGTTGGTGAAAGTTAACACCTGCTTTTAAATTATATTAATTTTTAAACATTATAGTTAAAAAAGTCGGACATTTGACCCCTTAAACCCTCTAGGGCAGAGCCTTTTTAACGGACCTGCACCAAACTTCACACAAACCATCCTTGAATAATGCTTAATAACGCCTGAAAGTTTCATTACTATCTGTCGAGTGGAGTCCATTAGGTATATACATACATACTTACTTCATCTTATATAGATATAGATAGATAACCTGAAATAAGAATTGCATACTATAGACTCACAAATAAAACTCTCTTCAATTCAAGGGGTCTGTGCTATACACCTATAGACATAACAATACAATGCAGATAGCATAAGTTTAAGCACTCACGTTAATCAACATAAAAGAAAGAGTTTAAGCACATCTAATACTCTCCGTAGCAATGCAAACAGTTTTCTATATACCAACCAATCTAATAATGTGCATATACCATTAATTTATCATCATACTATTCCGAAGTAAAGTAAGCACTTCTATTCTGTAATATAAATTTTTCAGTCGTAACTTTAATATCTACTTTATTTTATAAGCCGCATTGAAGAATATTTTCTAACAGGCCTACAAGTATGTAAAAGAGTAAAAAGTCAAAAGCTACTATAAGAAAAGGCCTTGAAGATTTGTTAAACCAGGCAATACCTTTATCCAATTCAAGGGTTTCAACATGCATTATTGAACTAACCACAATTGGGAAAACGTTAATTAATAACGAGTACATTATAAACCACAATCATGATTCTCTTTTCATTTAACATTACAAATACATTATTTTAATAGTATATTGATGTAACCACAACTCCTAGGATAGCCAAATGTTATGCATACGTTTAAATTTCATAAAAAGGGTTTCGATGCTTTCAACAACTAAACATCGTAAAACTACAAATGAGAAATAAAATGTATTTTGAACATTGCATGGAAACAAATTGTTCTTTTATATTACAGAAATAATAAATGGATTATAAATCTGCATGTAAATCTCTACAGGAATGAATTTTACCTTTTGAAAAGAATACAATATCTTCAGCTTTTGTTTCAGACATGTTTTCGATATAATTCAGATATTTACGCTTGAGTAGATAGTATAGAACATGAATGTTCCAAGAAATTGTTAAGTGCAGATTACCTCTGGATAGCATTTGAACTTTGTCCTCCTCTGTCCATACATATCCAAATATATAACGAAGGACACTCAATGAAATGAATATCTTCTTTGTATGAAAAATGTATCCTAAGTATGATATTTTTAGAATAGTTGAAGGTATGTTGATTTATTTGTCTTATTTGCTAGAATGCATCGAGACTTTGACTTCTGTAAATGGCTTAAAACGTATGCATGAAATAATAATGAGAATAATATTTGTGTACGTCCTTGGTTAAGAAGTTCAAAGAAAAATTCACAATATTTTAGACAATGTTGTACTAAAATGGTTCTTGTTGTAAAAAGATTCAAGATAGATACGCTTTACAATTAGTAATAAATGAACCGCACGTTTGGAATAACCTTTAAAACTAATAGCAGCTATTGTTACGACTAGTAATAAGAAAATACTTATATACAATTTATTATCATAAGATCATTTTTCATGTGCCATTAACATAAATTTATACCTTCCAGAACGTACGTTTTGTAGCGTTTTGTTAAAGTTAGAGTACACATAGCTACCCAATACTCCACATCTGCTTATACGAAAAATAGCTACAAAAAAAAATCCCACTTCAAATGGTACTACGCCAACTACCCAATGTTTTTGTAATGCTTAAATTTTGAATTTTTTAATACTCGCAGTATAATTTCTCCCCACCTGAAAATCCAGAACACAGTCTCTAGCCTGGAACCGTTTTTCAAGCTACTTTGAGGAGTCATGGCATTATCACATTGTAAAATCCATTGGTGATTGGCGTTATTTGATCCTGGGACCTTGAAGACCAAGGCAATATAATAATAATAAACATTTCTTCTTTAGTTCTTTTCCTAGTCTGTGGTCGATTACACAATATCTTTTTAATATTCAATCCTCTATCAGTCATAACGTTCGTAAAAGAGGGATTTTTCATAATCCATTCTCAAAAACTACCAGATATTTGTAGAAAATAAATACGAAAAAACATCCAAAATGCACGAACAACTACTTCTGACAATGTTTTGAGATAATTGAATGTTAAAAAATTGGTTGAAAACAATGATTTCTATATGTTAAATGTGCATAATGTAAGAACACAGAACTTATAAGGAGAAATATTTGTGCAATTCTCTCAAAACAAGTCTTACAAAATTTTATCTTTTGATCCATATCTATGCAGAACTATTTCGGACTGCATTTCCAAATCTGGCCAAAATTGAGAAAATGTTGATTGGTCGGGTTCAACCAGAACTGTTGGTTCACCAGATGGCATAACCAAACAGAAAAAAAAATACTGATACAAAGGATATGTATGTAATGTCCACATCTTTGCTTATGACACTTGTTAAATGCTGATAGTTCTGAGACGAACTGATAAAGTTAAAAAGATGAAGTAATTGTTTTATATCTGCTTTATTAAAAACCAAGAAAAGTGATTGAACCGCTCAACTGGCTTTCACTGCTATAAAAGCATATCGTAACATTTTACAATAATGTACATGTTTAATACTGCATAGCATGTCATTTGTATATTTTGTACTGAATATATTACAAAATTTCAATTGCAATTTTAATATGAGTACATTGGTGTGATATAAATAAATCTAACAAATTTAGTCAGTATTAAGAAATATTTCTTTACCATTTAATAAACCCATTAACAACTTCCGCATTCCGAAACGAACACGAACAACTATTTAATAGACAACTTTAATTACTGACAAACGTTTTCAACAATTCAAAAGTCGTTAATCTCTATCCGTTTCTATTACTTAAAGAATTTGGTTCAAAACGCCTTAGCTATTTAATATTTGTGTTCAATTTGATAGAACAAATATTAATTTCATACTGATTAAAACGTCATGAAATTAAGCAGCTATTTGTGATTACTTTTCGTTAGATTATTATTATTTGCTTTCTGTGAAGGAATTTTGAGGAAGCTTATTCAATTGTTTCAAAAGCTATGTAGTCTAACTATTCAAGCTCCTCCACATAGACCACATAGTCAAAAGTCATCACATTGTTATGTCACATTGTTAATTGTTAAATCACATTGTTATGTTTAGTGGCTATTCACTCACTATTAAGTTATGGGATATAGGACATGGGATATATAGGACATAGATTATAGGGCAAACACATTTAGTTGGGTTTTAACTCAAATACATACTTCAATATTTTTTTATTGTTAAGGCCACACATGAAAAGATAGTATTTTGCTACATCAATGCCCATAAGCTATTGAACTAGTTAATCACTTATGTCTTTCAAACACATTTCATTGGATTGTAACAGTATTAAAAAAATATGCTTACTCCAATTTATTACATAATTTTGAAAACTGATGAAAACTATCCATCATCTTGTTTTGATAGAAATATTTATATTAACATTTAAGAAAGCTAGACACTCAACAGCTTCATTAGGGAAATAGAAGAATTCACCTCATCATGTTAACCGGAATTAGTTCGTTTGTTTAATTAAATAATACATTTAGAACGGAATACAATAAAATAAAATACTTATTTATTTCCTCGTTTTAAATGTGATACATAGTGCATAGATTTACAATAATTTTTCAGTAAAATACTCAATAGTAAAAAGATAAAAACTTATCTTTACAGTGAGAATGCAAGTTGCAATGAAAGTACATACTGTCCAGTGTTCCCACCAGACTTGAAATATTATTCCACTTTTTTGCCTTGAATAAAAGTTAGTTATCAATACATGAATTCATTTGGGAGGTTGTGTTACGTACGTTGTAGTTGTGTTTTCAAAAGCTGAGCCAGTTCCAGGTGTACTCTCTTTGGTCCCGTTAGTAGCAGCTGAATTTGTCTCGTATCCAAGCATATCGTAAGAACCTAAAATTACCAAAGCGAATTCATGATCTCTATGGTTGTTAGTATAGGTTTTATTTGAGTTGTCGATGCTACTAAAAGTCTTGTTGGACTCTGTATAATCTTCAATGGTAGTTTCTGGGTTGGAAGTCGATTCATTGTATAAAGTTGAGTTTGATTTTTCTGTCGTAACTTTTATATCAGTGATCCGATGGTTTTTTGAAGGCTTGATATATATTTTCCTGTATATAAGGGATTTTTGTTTAGAGTTAACTTTTTCGATCTTGTCTTGTTTGCCAGTTGTTTCAACGTTTCTATTACTTTCTTCTACACTTGTTTTCTCTTCCTTTTGCTCCACGAATTTTTGTTTTTTAGTTCTGCTTACTTCTTCACTTTTATCTTCAATTGAGTCTTTAGTTTTCTCTAAATTGTCATCCGTGTTTATCTTTGTGGGATTCCTTTCGGTCTGGATAGCTTTAGTTTCATCTTTTACTTGCCTTTTTATCATAGTATGTCTTGTATCGGAAGTTTTAGATTTTCCTTCTTCAGAAGTGTGCTTGGATTTATCTTCATTGCTTGTGTTTTTATTTTCTTGAGTTTCAGATTTATCTTGTTTAATTAATACAGGCTTGCCTTCATGATTTATTTTTACACCCTTTTTTCCCATTTGAAATTTCTCCAGTTTCATTTTACTTTTACTTGGCTCTTTGGTTTCAGAAGCACTGAGGGGTGTATTTTTAATGTCAGTTAAACCTTTTGCAGCCTCTTTTGGCAATTGATCCTTTGTTTTGGTGTGTTTATCTTCTTGAGTTGTGTTTAATCCCATAGCTTTGTTTTGTATACCCTCTGCTTTGATTGTCTTAGTGCCCGTTTTAGTCTTGGACATTGCGTGTTTGTTAGCTGGAGGATTGTCATTGCCTTTTGAAATAGATTTAGCACTCAATGGTTTTTGCAATATACTGCTGTACGTTAAATTCGAATTTTTATTTGCTCTGGAATTCATGTTTTTATTACTATTAACACTGTATTTACTATCTGATGCGCCTTTCACTGTTTTCTTGGCTGGTTGATGGCTTACAGGGCTGTCCAGAGTACAGTTCGCATTTGTAGGCCAGTCGCAAGCGGTCTTTTCGGCGTTGTAGTGAAGTCCTTTTGAACAAATGAACACCCTTGGGTTGCCTGATGAATCACACATTATGAACTTTGAACAGTTCAGAGGATGGACGTATTTGCTGTTTGGTTTGCAGAAGACGGCTTCTGTCGACGGCTGGATCTAAAACAAAAGAAGAAGCCAATTGTAATGTGATCATCTATGTTAACAAATTAAGTTATTTTATTTGCTTCTTAGATTTACATGTATTTTTGTTCCTAGCTACAACGACCCACATTTTTCAAACCAGTAAAAACATCTTAAGCATTAATTTGATATTTTACAATAGTTTCCGGTATGCTTTTTTCCACTTTAGTACGAAGGTTTAAAAAAATCCAACAATTTAAGGATAAAATACTTTTTGAGAAGTGAATTAGAGTTATTCACTTAGTAGTTAGTTCTTAGTGCAATAACAATGCCAATGCATTATTTTAAACGTTTCTTTTAATAGTCTGGTCAAGTGGGGAAAGCAGTCTCATTGTTATATTATATTTAGTGCAGACTTTAACTAAAACCTAGGAAAAGTCATATTGTATAATATTTACATTTTAATTTGTCTTAATATATTTTAATAATTCTATATTATATAGTTATCTAATTCATACAATATTCATTTTTTTCTAATTATTTTTGTTTAAAAAAGGTTTTCTTTAAGTTACTATCAAAAAGGTAGAAATCTAATAAAAACGTTTGACAAAATAAACCAGAAAATATGTGCAAATAAAAACACATGCCAGTTTTAACTTTTCTCTCAATTGTATATTTCTCCGACAGTATTACAACCACTATTTGTATACGTCATTCGTTTTGTACCATGTGAAACATTAAGTTAAGTTGTTAAGTAAGGGTTTAAGTTATTTTCACTAATCTAAGGCAATGTATTACGACCATCATAGTAGTAATAATAAAAGAAAAGATAAATTCAAATGCAATAATGCCAAGTGTTTTATAATACATAAGGAACCACGAAACATAAATCTACATTGCGTGACAAATAGGCTGTATGGTTTCTTAGAGCAAAATGTTTTTTTTTTACAATTAATTGTAGACTTTACGTCACAGGTTTGGAAATTGTTCACCTTCTTAACTTGAAAGTTGAAGTTTGTCAGTTTGACAGTAATATCCTGCTTCTACCCACAAATTCCCTACGGCTCTCATCAACACTTATTAATTGTTTAGAAATAGGATCCGAACAATGGCAACTGCCAAAGTCAGATTTATTTCTAGAAAGAAGAAGTTTAGGGCTGTAAAGCTTTTTGCGTGGAATAAGCTACGTTATGAAAGAGTCATATATTGTGGAAATTCCACAACCAATTTTTTTTTTGTCGTTTTAGTATATTAATCATGTACAAATTTAAATGCAACATTTGGTGCAGAAATAAAAAAAACTGCAAAAAAATTGGCTATGGGGTTTCTGCAATAAGCGATTCAATATTGTAATATTTACTGTGTTATACAGTCTTTAATTTCCTGCAGAAAAGTAATGAAATGAAATTAAATGAAATATTATTTATTTATACAGGCAAAAGTAGTAACTTAATCTGGATTTAATACAAATTGTAACATTTTATTCATAACCTGTCTGAAATGTTAACAAGATTGTAAAAACCATTTTACTGCTATTTCGAAATAAATGCTTCTGGTTTTTATTTCCGTTGACCAAAATGACCGTGTGGATTTAAATAAATGGGGAGGTTCCAATTCAGAAAATGTTGTCTTCGTCTGAGGGGCCTACACAAATTATTAAAATTTTATTCTAGATAAGTGAACCAAATACTAGATAACTAGATAAGTGAAATATCATTAGTTTGTATAACTTTCATTAATCATCAGCAAATACGATAAAAAAAATTCTATTCTCCAGCCATAATATTTTGTAATACAAGTACTGAAGCACAATTCGATGAGTTTAACCCACACATTGGTTGGACTGTAATAGACTAAGAAGAAAGTCCAAGTACTAATTCATTTCACTGAGATATTGGATAGCTTATATCGTTGAACAATCTGCAGAATAAATTTGCAAGGTAGCCTACTAGTAGAAAATTAAAATATATAAACATTATTAGTTTTGAGTGTTTTCAGTAGTATTTTTTTAACTATCAGGATTTTAAAAAAGTTCTTCTTTCCTTATACTGTATGTTGTTATATGTTTACTCTACCAAACTGTACATTTCATAATTATTATGTTTCATTAAAAGCTAACTAATGCATTTATCCGCTAACTCTCCAATACTATAGTTTGAATGTAATTTATGCATATTTATTTGTTTCTCTAAATTTAATAAGCTCTTGTAAAGAAAAACTTCGTGAAATTTTTTTTAGGCTACTATTTTAGATAGGTAGAAAAAACCGCATTAATCCGATAGGTTATGTTAACGCGCTAACAATACACAACTATCTTTAATCTTTTACGATACTATCAATAATTTCAAACAAACTAATGGATTCATAAAAAGTTAAAATACATAACAAACTATTGGAGCTACTATGTGGCTTATTTAGTTTTTAATATATAAATTTGGTTTTAGAATAAAATTACGTTATTCATAATTTACTTATATTGATACACCAGTATTTTTTAGAAACTCCTTAATATTTTTAAAGCGATCCTGGAGATAGGCAGTACGATTAATTATTTAGTTGGGTTCTTGTTCAAACACAGCTTGAACGGTAAAAACGAATCCGGAGGATCTCTCAAAACCGACACTAATTTTTTGGTTGAAATACGCCCAGTTTTTTTCACTTATTACTTAATAGTATAGTATTATAGCAGTAGTAGTAGTATAGTATGACGTTTGACCTAAAACAACCATTAATAAAATTTTCTTTAATATTTTACTGAATAAATATGTTTCACATAATATAAAATACACAAACTCTGCTCTCCAATTAAAGGTATTAATAGTCTTACCCATGTTAGTACAACGAGTGTAAAGAGAAGAGGCACCATCTTGAGGCCTCAGATACTGAAATGAGTTGAAAGAGCCGTTCAGCAGCAACTGAGAGAAGAAACCCTCTGAAGCCTTTGTTCGTTAAAGGTGAGGAAACTTAGCCTTATCACCGTTGTTGTCAAAACTCTTGCCAAAACAACTCATGAACTGGCTCCTGAGACCCATTTAGATAAGCCATGCTCAAAACGACGGAGAAATCCGAAACTAGGTAAAGTCATCATTTGAAGTATGGTACTACATTTAGAAAAAACACTGTTATATATTGTTAGAAAAGTCATTTACATATCAACTATACACGGGTATAAATATAATTAAATTTTATCAGTCTCCTTGTTTTTGTCAGTTTGAAATTACAACATAGGAATCCTTACTATTTCGTATGAGATTTTTTTTCTAATTTGATCAGATACATTTGTTTATTAAAGGTGGGTTTTCCTAGGCGCGGAGTCGGCGAGCGGAGAGAGGAACGCGGAGAGCGGAATTGAAATTAACATGGCATTCCGCTCCGCTTCTAGGAAAACAGTAACATTAAATTGCCTAAGACAAGTGGAGTCCGCTCTCCGCGTTCCTCTCTCTACTCGCCGACTCCGCGCCTAGGAAAACCCGGCTTAACAGCCACAACAGTTTCAGATATTATAGTTTTTTACCATAGACTATACTAATGATAAAATGCAGTACCTTACAATGTTGTGTATACAGGTTTTGATACTCATTTGACATATAAAGTATAGCATAAAGAACAAAATAGAACAAAAATAACAAAATATATAGGTTGGTAAATCAGTGTTTCAGTTGGTATTGCGGTGGACTACTAATCTGAGTAAACGATGCAGTTTATTTGCACCCTGATGACTGCAATTTCCATCAGTAAATTGCAACAGATGTAAAGCTGATTTTAGTACTGAACTAGCTCACACCTTATGTTGATGCATTTTCATGTGGACATGAAAATTCGGGAAACATTTTTTACAAGGTTGCGATCTGGGATTCTCTTGTCATATTACTTAATACTGGGCCTAGTTGTTTCTGGTATTATCACTTGGATAAAACTAATTGGGAACTGTCAGGATCTGAACCTGGGACTACGGAGACCGAAGTTCCGCACTCTACTGTCATACATTTAAACTATTACCTTATCTAATCGTTGAAATAGCGCTTCCACTGTAAAAACTACAAAAAAGTTATATATTTTCCTATAATAACACAAAGTGAATACCAAACACTACGCGTTGTAGAGCTAAAACAAGTTTCCCAAACCACTTATTTCGCTCTAACTGTAATATTTTATATTGTACCATTGTTTATGATTTAGAAGTTATTTTCCGGTCAGAGACAGCAATACCAGATCTGCTTTGATATTGAAGTCTGCCACTTAGCTGCAGATCTTCTCGAGTTTACTCAAAGAGTTGATCTCTTTATATCTGCCATTTCCAATACACTGCACTGAATGTGTCCAGTTCATTTGATTTATGTTCGCCTTGATCTAGCTTATAATAAAAAAATATTTCTCTAAAAATGACTTATTCAAACTATAAATTTTAACCAAAGAGTTAAAAACCACTTTATGTATAATGTACACGTCAGTATTTAAGTGACAAACTGTTCTCATTGAAATATTAAGTGAATTAAGTGTAATAAAACGAAATTATAACCAACCCTAATGTCTCTGAATAAGTAGCTCTCACTTGTTTAAATGAACCTAATTTGTAAATTGAAACAGGAAAATATGAGCGCGAATTTGCCTCTACGCCAGTATTGTAATCTTCACTCAACATTCGTTAACAGAAAAGTTACGAATGGTAATTTCCCCTTGGAACAATTTATCCTCAGACCTCGTATTATTCTTTCAAATATTCAAAACTTCTTTTAGGATGATAAGTTTCAATTCCATATTTATCTTTTAAAACCTAGTTTGTTTTGAATGAGTATTCAACATCACATTACGTTTAATAATTTAGATTTAAATGTATTTATTTCATCTCCAGAGTCTAGTATATTCCCAAAACTGCAAAAAATGTATATGTCCTAGAAATGCAACTGGTTGAAGGGCTTAGTTGTTGAAGTTGGATTAATTTAACTAGGTACCTAAAAATTTGCCACGTAAACTATTGAAATACTGTAGTTTAAGGTTTTCTTGAGATAGAAAAATGACAGTAAATAAAGTTATCAAATAATATGGTTTTATATGGTTTTTTTTGTCCTGAGACGCTAGGCACGAGCCCGGGATTTTTTTGCACTTTACTTCAGGCTAGACCTAGGGGTTGCATCATTATCACTTAGATGAAATCCATTGGTGATTTGGCGGGATTTGAACCCGGGATCTAAGGTACCGAAGTCCCGCGCTCTAACCACTAGACTAGCTTGCTCCCCATTGATTCAGGGTTACTCATAAGAGTTAATGTGCTTTACTTAATAATCAACAACACAAAAAAAAGAAAACAGACCCTCTCTTGCCTGCGTGATGGAGAATAATGTTTAACGCTTGATAACGAAGTGTTAAAAATAATTTTATCGTGAGATTAGATTTTGAAAATATCTGTAATAGAATCTACTGCTTCAGTATCATTTTCTTTGTGAACATATCTCGTTCACACCTGACCTGGTTGACAGGGTTACCAACAGGTGTTGTTGTTGTTGCAGTGGCAGACCTGTAATAACCAGTGTCAAGCTAGCTCGTCCCCTCCATGTCTTTATTGGTGTTTCACAACAAGTGTATATTGGCAATAGTTGGATTCTTTTGTGTGTCAAATTTTCTTACTTAAAATAAGTTACAGCAAAAAAGTTAATATGAAACTTCATCATAAATTTTTATGAAATAGTCGTATTCATCATTACGTCTGAATTTATTAATTTTAATAAATCACGTCTAAATAATGGAACGATGGTGTATTTATTAAAAACACATTAACAATGGTTTGTATGGTGTGTACGTAACATATTTTTACTTCCTAAAAAAAATAGCTCTATATATATGATGAAGTTATGCATATTAACAGTTTATTGAAAACGGTTAATGAATTTTGTATTTAATGCTTTCTACGTTTTAATTTTTTTTTCAATTCATAGTATGTTTGGTAAAAACTGTTTTCTGGTGATATGCAATCACCCGTTAACTCAATAGTTTCTCGTTATTGAGTAAGTTTATAAAATACACTAACAAATCATCAGGTTCATAATATAAAATATAAATGTATTGTCAAAACTATGGTTTATTCGAAGTAATATTGTTTTATAATATTGTTTAATTAATATTGTTTTAATTAATATTGTTTTATAAGTAATACTTTGACCTACAGGCCGGATTAATTAGGTATGTGTAATTATTATTATTACCCATAAACATTGGATACCAACACAAAAAAGAACACTGTTCTAATATTGTGGTAACTAGGTTTAGTTTATCATGTAATATTTAAAGGTTGCTAATTTTTACTAGACATTTACTAGCTCTAAGGAACCATATTTTGTCTAGCCTTAAACATCACTTTTTTCATAACTCAGGGCTTCTGAAGTGTCCTTTAAATTGCTTCAATATCAAGTTTGACTATTTTGTAATGTAATTTTCAGTCATTTCCATTTCAAAATACGTATTTCTTTATACAAAAGACGACTTTAAGGTTTTCCACACAAACCCCTTTTGTAAAGTTTTGCTATAGTTTATTTCATTGTTAGTACCAGCCCAACATATGTATACATATTAAAAAATTTGATATGACATGCTAGTAATTAACAAAATTACATATATTCACAAATATATGTATGAAATAAATTTTATATTTTACAGATTTATAGCTAATATATGTTGAGAGTTCAAAGAATTTTAATTTTTACACACAAAAATAAAAACGTATTTTGAAATATCGCATTTTAATTTCCAATATTGATACTAATTACACATTTTAGGGTAATTTAGCGTATCAACATTTTAGTAATGAAGTAATATACGTCAGACAAAAAATGAGTATATGGACTTAACTGGAAGTTTCCTGTGAAGAAGAAAGTTTTTAGGTCAGAGAGATCCATCTTACTTTGTATAAATAGGCAAGAATTTAGATGTGATTCAAATCAATGTATCGTATTGTTACCGATAATTCCAATCGGATTCCAGCTAATATATTACCTGTCTTTGGCTATGACCAGATTGGAATACACAGTTTATGTACTAAACCTCTTTATCAGCCACGGACAGTTCCTTATTTTGGATTGAGTGATATTTCTAATTAATCATCTCTAAGATCGAAAACGTACGACTTCAGCCATTTATTCGCCTTTTCGGCTGATTCAAAAAGGCATAAGAGAAAATATTTACTCATTCAGATAGTAACAGTTTGACACTAAGAGCACACACCACATGGTTTTACACTTACCTTATCTTATTTCGAAGTTTTGAAGTCACGTACTTTAGACACGAGGAGCTCATTTAACAGTTTAATGCTTCAAAGCTTACCTAATGCTGTTAGTGAGTTTAGTGTCGAAATCCCTTTTATTCTGTGCAACTCCCAAATACAATGTACCATTTGGTAGCATTGGCAACATTTTAACATTGGTTAAACACATGTATTCAATCAAACCATCTCACTGTTTGACACTGTTTTTGGGAATACAATATTTAACCAACGAGAGCATTTCATTCCTATAAATCAAAAAAGTATTGAATCAATTTTGAATTATTTTTTTACGGTTTCTTTAGCTTTGGCTGGGTTTGTGTATTAATACACCTTTTAATGTTTTTTGTACTTTCTTACCTGCGGACAGAATCACACTCCAAATCAAAATACGTTAATTGGATTTAGTAAACTTCCCACATAACTGATACCAATTGAAGTTGAGTGTGCAATGCATCTCACGTGGATGATATAGGCTACGTACAACAGTATAAATCATAAAAAACATTTAGAACCTGTTTATCAAAAACTATTATCCCAACAATCCGTCTAAGTGCACCCATAACAGGTGCAGTTAACAGTTACAGGGGTTGTTGGTTTCATAAATAGAGATTTCCTATCTTAATTTTTAGCTCAAATAACGTATTATTTCCTTTCTTATTAAATATCTACTGACTATAACTCTGGTTTCGTGACCAGTATTTAACAACTTCGGCCATTCTATATTATTTTTAATTCCGGTAGTGAAACAGTCGTAAGATCCAGTTTTAGAAATATAAAATGTTTGTGCGAAATAAAATTTATCACGATCATATCACTGATTATTTTGTTTTCAAATAGGAGGACTTTATTACACTCTTAATAGGCTATACCTCCAAGGGGATATGATAAGATGTTTACGTAATCTTGAAAAATCGTTTTCATTGTTGTAAACGCTTTGTCTGCCTTGACGACACATTCGTGCGAGACATGTTTACACCTCTGTAGAGTTGTAAACATTTTTGACAGTTACTGCTGCCATTTAAACGGTTCAAGGTGGCATATCATTCACACGCCAATCATCATACCATGAAGTCTACAGTCTTCTTGTACACTGCGTCTTTCATTCTGGTAATTATTCTGCTTAATAATAGTTACAGCACTTTTAAACTAGTTTTAGTGAAATTGATATACTAAAATAAATGTGCCACGTTAGATTGTATTTAAGATTTCGAATGGACACATATTTGTTGATTTAAAAAACCCGTTACCACACTCGGAATGATAAGAATTTACGTTTTCACTTAGTGTCTTTAAAACAAGAATATAGAAATTACTCTTTATACATAACTTTATACATTATTCCACCATTAACCATGGTTCTAAGAAATATTGTTCTAAGTAAAGTATAACAAAGAATTGTATAGTGTTTAATCAATCAAAGAAAATTTAGTTTTAAAGGAAATCCTAAAGCTATGAACAGATATAATCAGAACGGTTTTCACGGATGTTTAAAGTAATACTATATTACTTTATAGCCGAACTTACGGTGTATTATTTTTCTTAAATACTACAATGCAAACTTTTCGTCAGCTTTTGATAAGTATTAAGCTTTGTCTTAAAAATATTAATGTTGGATTAAATAATTTGGTTTAACCTTAAACCTTTGACTATTGATAACACTAGACATTCTATATCGATGTTAAAGTTGTCACTAGTTTTTCAAAAGTCCAAATCTTTGTAATTGATGTGAGCCACCGACAATATTATGCTGATCTTCGTTACTGATTTCTGTTGAATACACAAACTTTTTTACCAAGTCAAACCGAAGGAGTGGCTTATTGAGAGCTATAGCAACTGTTGTGACCCATAAACCAAGTCAGCAACAAAAAACTAGGTAAAATTATAATTTAGAAAACTAGCGTATTCTGTGACTGGTTCGCATAATTATGTTCTTTTTTAATAAACATTTGGTCACAGCTAGTCCATGTAGATGGTATGTCCACTTCAGTATCCAATAGTCAAGGTTTTAACATTTTTTATATTCAACTGAAATTAATTAAGCTGTGTCCACAGGCAGTTCGAGCATGAAAAACAGCAAACTGATAACAAGTAAAAACGTAACTGTGTAACACGTGTATGCATAACTTGTTATAGTAAGCGTTATCGTAACTGGCGATTTATACGAGAAAGTCGAGCTGAATGACCAGTCAAAGGCAAACTTTCTAGAATATTTAACATGAAATTTAAGCCTCAGGCTATCTTAGTGCATTTAGTTTACTTTTCCAAGAATAACCCATCTAATTAAGGTGCAATCCCTACTAAGACAATATTAGTTTGTAATATTCTGAAGTTACCGATCTTCATTAGTCTATGTAAGGCACGTTATTCCAACTATATTACCGTTTATATTATAATAGTAAACGTCAAAACAGGTCTTAATAAGAAAATAGTTTGTACATAGCAAAGGTAGTTTCTCAGGTGTAGGCTGTAACCAGTGATGAAAATAACATAGTGTCTAACTTTTGATTATATTACGTCAAGGTTGTTGACTTTTGAGCAATTATCGGAACTCCACTTGTGAGCTCAAGAAACTTAGAAACATTTCTGTAACGTTGACCAATATTGTTTAACACTAATTTCTATATATACCAAAATATGGTAAATTCAAAATGGAGAGTTTGGGCAACTTAAATCGTTAGGTGTTTACACTATAATAATTTAATTTGGTAATAATGTTAAGGTCGGGTGATTTCATGTTTGCTAACAGCTAGCCAACTCTAGTTAAAACACATGAACAGTGAACACCTCATTATAAGACACCTAACCTCGGCAATTAGCTAACCAACTATAAACAGTATGTTGCAGTTGACTCTGTGACAGCTTGTATTGATGGAGAATTCATGAGGGACCCGTCATCCTGTGACCACTTCTACAAGTGCGACCATGGACAACCAGTCAAGTTCTCTTGTGGACCAGGAACATGGTTTAACCCAAAGATAAACGTATGTGATTGGCCCTACAACGTCAAGTGTGACGTCAATAATCAAAACGGCAAACCAACTGACAACTATCAATACAACGATAACAGTGGTGGGAACACCCCAAATAACAATAACTATGGGGGACAGAACGGCCAGAATAAAAAACCTTCGAATCAAGGTCAAAATAATCACCCCGACCAAGATAGTGGATACCTGAATCCTTCCGAAGAAGGGTATCTTTGGCCAATTCAGGGTAATGATCAAAATTATAACGGTGGAGGATCTGGGAATGGAGAAAACAGACCAAGACCTACAATTGACAATTTGTATAACGGTAACAATAGGCCGTATCAAGACTACATTGGAAACAATCGTGTTTAAAGTATTTATATACATAAGAGATATACAATAATTAGATGATTCCCTACTTTTTTATTGTTAAAACGTAATACCAAATATATTTTTACCAAGCCACCTCAACTCCGTCAACAAACATAATAGCTTTGAATAAATTGAAAGTATGAACAGTTACTTCATAAATAAATTTGAGGCACTAGTAATTATTCTCCGTCAAAGGTGTGTAATTATGTAGTTTTTATTGTTTGTAACATAGCTTACAGCATTATGCTAAACTCTGGAAAAACCTCTCTAATTTAGAATATATGTTTGACGATTGTCCTTTTGAATCAAAGTTTGAATTACAGATGGATCAATGTCCCAGAGGTATGTGAAATTTCCTCTTGATCATGCACAAAAAATAAATATTGTGATTGACTTTAAGTTTGTCGTTATTATTTTTTATGAATTGTTTATACAGGACAGTAACTTTTGATTGATAATAGGACCTATAAAAATCCTTTGTGATTTTGGTATGAAAGCAATGACATCAAAATTATAATCAGCAATGGTTAATTTTACAATAAAGTAAGACTCAGTAATATTATTGTTACAGTAGTGAAGCTATTTTAACGTTTGCCTTTTATGCTGATCAACTAAAAGTTAATTTAATAAAAGTTTACGTAAGTGCGTATACAGTACACAGTTTATTTAAACAATGCTTCGGATGGATAAAGCATATATTTAATAAACAAAAGAATATTTTTTCATTATATCACAAGAATTTCAGCTCCGAGTAGTATATGAAGATAATTCTTGAGATACGAGGATAATAGATTAATTCCACACAAAAGCTCGCCCTGAGAGATGTCTTATAGATATGTCTTAAGTTAATTAGCAGCCTGGCCTGCAGGAAATTTATGTTGTAGCGTAGCACTTTGTATAATAGACTTGAGGGAATGAAATAGTGCACATGAAGTACTTTTAAGACAACTTATAAAAGGAAACCCCCGTATAACTATCACTTAATGTCCCTGAAACATTTATTCTGAATCTATAACTGGCTGAACTATTTACAACTCATAGACTCACGATAGTTTTTTACATAAGATAGCCACACATTTTGCGTCCTATTAGGTATATTATTAAAGGAAATATTCAAACATGTACAGTAATTTGTACCCTATTCATTCACTATTTAGTTTTTATACGCAAGTGTTGGTAACTCTTTAAGATTATATATCATGAGACAAACAAATCTCTAGTTAAACATATGCTATGCGCATATTATAATTCTTTCTATGGATAAGCATGTGTGGTGATAATTTTAATACTCTGTTATAAAGATTGTAAGTTTGTTTTAGTTAGTAATTGAGTAACAATTAGTGGGTATATCGAGAAAAACATTTGTTCTTTGGAATGAAAGGAGAATAGAAGCAGAACCCTGATAATATTTTACAAAGTGTTGCTAATGATACTTCTTGAAAGGGGCTTTTCATTAAGCATTGCAGTGGCTGGGCGATTTATAATCATATTATTCCAAAGTTCGCTTTGAACGAAAAGTGTTAGAATATTTAAGAAAATGTTACCTTTGAAACGAAATATTAACTTTCTTGTTCTGTTTACATAATCATGATTATTTATTAATAATTAAACGTTTTAATTATTTCTTGTGCTATTATGCTATTATGTAGGTCTCTATAGGTAATATTATGTACCTAGACATAATTACCTTAGTTATTATTAGTGTTTGTTATTGTTTTAGTTAAAAGCTGCTAAAATGATGTTTCAGTTTTTTATACACGTTACAGAATATTAAATACTGTATAACCAGGTGTGAACTAATTGCACATGAGGCTCATCAAGGTATTCATCATCTACAAAAATACTATTTTTTGAATATGTTTGCTTTGATAAGTGAATTATGGGTTCAACTCTGAATGTACCATTACAAATTATAGATTTTTGTACATGTAACTTCTAAACAACACTTAAAATAATATTATAAGTTAATGTAACTCGTTGGACCTTTACAGTAATTATAATTGTTCATTATATCGATTGTCTGTTGTCTGATGACATCTCGTGATTGGACGTACATGGTATCGTTGTAAAGTTACCATGTATACGTGTTTTGCCATGGTAATCAGACTGTTTGTGCTACACAGTTGAAAGATGTAACATGGAGATTTCAAATGAGTAGAATTAAAGGATTTTAAAATTATATAAAGTAGGCCTACCTAAATAACCAATCTATCTCATCTATTTTGATGATCTGTTTTAATTTCAAAGTACTCACCTGAACCTAGCCCCACGAGCTTATTTGAGTATTTTTTTAAGTTCTTGTGTACTCGTTATTTCCCATTTTCTTTCTTAAGACTGCAATTATTATTTCCGGATGGTATAATCGTTTGATTTAAGTTAAAATTATCATTATGGTGTTATTTATCTCAAACTGGTATAGGGTCTGTCTATTGGGTACCTGGTTAAGTCTTATTTCCTTGACAATTTCAGCTCATATAAAACACGTTTGTTCTAGTAGATTAAGCATAATTTCATTGGAAGAAAATTTAAAATAGTAAAATAATAAATACCCCCGCCGCAGAAAACCTGCAGACTAAGCGAATTTCCATTATCCTGATTGGATTTACACTAAAATGCCTCCATAAAAATGTCACATTTATTTCCTATTTAAATAGAATTAGTTTAACGAGTACTTAGGTTTGCTCCATCAGGGAGGGTAAAGGTTTTTTTTATGTTAATAGGAGAGTAAGAAATGAAAGTATTTTCCAAATTCGATCAAAATATGTTCATAAACAAGTAAACTACAGCAGTTGACTTATTCTCCATAAGAATAACATGAGAATTTTAAATTTACAATTTTTTGGAATTTTCTCCGTAACTATTTGGCGCACAACAACGCTTCAATGTAGTAAATTATTTGTTTTTTAAGCTCTAAAAACTGGTTTGGAAAGAAATTGTAAAATGTTGTGTTTTTAGGGTCAAAAATGGGAAAACCTATTTTTACCCCATCAAACCCCATATAAAACCCCGTTCCCATAGTCCGATCATGCTAGTTCGCGAACTTGTTCGAATATATGTAGGTTTACACGTTTATACCAAATTTCATCAAATCGGATAATTTTAGCTCGAGTTATCGCGCTAACGGACACACACACGTATATGTATATATATATATATGAATTTATATATATATATATATATATATATATGAATTTGAACGGATGGTGTTTTTGGCCTCTAGGGACCTCAAAACGAAAAAGTAAATCGGTCCCGGGTCCAGGTCTTACGGTATTACTTATTACCATGAGTACTACGGTAATAGCTTATTCCCTATATGGGAAATTCGCTAAAACAATAAAAAAAATCACCTTTATAACCCATAACCTGATAGAGATCTTATAAAATACTAGCAGAGTACCCGTCCTTCGTCCAGGGTTGATGTATGTTTAAATGGTGCTTTTTGAAATATGAAAGGAAAAACAGTATAAAATCAGATTCAATTCCAATAAATGTACCTATCAAAAACTTTTAACTTACTAATTACATAAAAAAAACATTTTCAAACGATAAAACAAATCAAAAACTCAAAGCTTTTACTTACTTTTAAATGATAAAATCAAACATAGACAAACAATAATCTACAATATCTGGTTAATATTACTGTTTGAGTGAAGAAACATGTGATCTTGCTTCTAAAAAGCATTGTCCATTTAGCATTGATTATAAAAATATCTCATTATATACTATGTGAACAAACAAAAACATTAACACTCTTACTACTAAAACAAACAGAAATATACTTAGCACTACTATTTTTAGCTCCTACTATTCTTGCACCAAAGGAAAGTGCATATACAACTTAGTTTTTTATTGTTGTTTTTAAATTGAAATATTTGTATATCAGCTTATAATTAGGAAATTTAACGTAATTCAAACGATGTTAATGTCGAGGGTAGGTTAAGTTAAAAGGAACTTGGTTGAAAATATACATGTAATGACCATGAAACGCTCATAAAACGTTATTCATTATTAGAATAGAATGTGAAATCTACAGGAAGTGTCAAAAGTTATAATATAGATAGGTAGTAAATACCTCTGGATTAGAAAACATCATAACTAATCTATGGGTAGTATAATGAAATTATGATTAAAAAATTTGTGAAAAGGCAAGTGGTGTGAAAAATATTTCTCTCAAAATGGCAAAAATATATAACTAATTATCTCGTTGAGAAAAAAGTTTCAATTTTTAGGGTGTGTGTCCTACTCTAAACACATGTTAATTGTTCAAAAATGTTAAAATAATTCAAGTAAATGTGACTTTATAATTTCACTATTTTTTACACCAAAATCTTTCATTACAATTATTCACATTAGCGAAATTTTAAATAATTATTGAGGGCTAGATACAGCAACAGATATACAATCTCACTTATTTCATAAAATTAATAATCAATGAACCATCAAATATAAGAATAAATAAACATGTAACATGATTGTAAAGAATATTATATGCATATTTATAAACCAGCTGTGGAATCTATATAATTAATACGCTACATGAAACTTTGTCGGTTGAACTCCTCCGCCATTTCTTAACCGATTTTATCCATTGACGTCTCATTGGAAAGAGTGTGTCGCGTAGATTTGCAAACTGACCTTACGTTTTTTAAAGAGTCCCTTGGGCTCCGCCCCAGTGGCTTTTAAAGTTCCCATGTTATCCTTATGGAGAATGTAATTGTTTACATTTTGATCAGCTGTATAATTTAATTGCTGTTATTTATTTTTCAATTCAATGAAACGCAGTGGGTACATTTACTGATTTTGTTGAAATTAAATATTTACTATTTTAATTTACGTTCGTACATATTACAATGTAAACAATCGAGAATGGACAATTGACATTGTAATGTATTTCTTGAGCAATCATTGAAAGAATCGATTTGTTTACCACGAAAACTACTGTACTATTTTGTAGGAAACATGACTTAACATTATGATAATTGGCAAAGAAGGAAACCCCTCTAAGGCTGATTTAAACTGGTAAGGCAAGGACATTAAATACAAGTTTTCATGAAGGTCAAGTGATTTTTAAAAAGAATATGATTACATCCAAGAAACCTTAGTAAAACTTTAATTGGAGGCTTCGTATTATTCACATTTACGGGAAACAACAAACCATCTGAACAACATTAGGCCTTTCAATTTTGCATTGTTCCAGGTAAATATAATTTACGTTATAACAATAACTAGCCAAATTAATTCCAATTGAAGCAAATACAATTATGTCAGAGAGGTTATGCAGAGAATCAGGTAGTTCGTAAGTAATGTAAACATAATGTTATCGCTATAAAAAAAGACTGAAATTTGTAAACGTACTGGCGACAATGGGTAGTACCATGCAGACTACTTTATTATTGCCTAAGATCAACATTGACAAGCTAATGCGGCTATAAGTGAGAAACATTTGTAGATTACACTAAAAAACCAGATCAGCTTTTGAAAAATAATAAAATATTTACAAGAAATGTTGATTATATAGATTTGTCAAGCACGTAATCTATTCGTTGAGTCTTTTAAATTCATCGGAAATTATGATTTTTATTCGTTTTTAATTAAGTTATTTGTTTTTCAATAACTACTTTACTTATTTGCAATAGCTCGATTTCAAGCAACATGTACACTAGTTGTGAATTAACGTGGTTTGACAGTTCAGCTTGTTTACATTTGGGTGGCATAGCAAATTGCAAACATTGTATGTGTTCTCATGGCAGCCATGGAGACCAATCAATATTTACTTTTAAAATCCTCACTTTAGAACCATTAAAGCCAAATGGGCAAAGCCCGCGGTCAGTATCGAAGTGTGAATAGTCCTATAAAGGTCCTTGGTATTGTATAATTTAAGCTCATTCAGTTCAGTAGTTGATGCGCCTATAAGTAACAAACATACAGACAGACACCACTAGATTTTTATATAATGGTATAGATGATTAATAGTATAATTCGTAAGAGCTATATTTGGTAGCAAAACAAACTAATGTTGTCACTTTATTAATCATTCATGTTACAATAGACTTTGACTGACTGGTAGGTCTCTCTAGTCTACCAGTGATAGTCCCCAGAGCCGCTCCCGCCCCCGCTAGAACCTCCGCTCCCACCTCCGCTATAACTTCCACTGCCACCCCCGCCACCACCGCCACCACCACCAGTCCTTCCACCACCACTTTTGCTACCACTTCCGCTCTTATTCTGGGGCCTCTTCGTGGTAGATCTTCCGCAAGATGAACTTGTACTGCACCTTGAAATTAATACAATTACAACAATATTGCAATGAATCTATAAATTATTTGTTACAGAATCAATTTTTACCTCCTGGCGTTTCTATTTGATACTATTTTGCTATAATTTCTAAATATACTGTCATATTTAGTCATCCACTTTGTGATAAATATTGACATAAACAATCGTTCCCAATAACGAATCGCGTGCGTACGTAAAATGTGGCCACCGTGACGGCGATACAGCATATTTTTTAAATGTATCTATGTGTGTAAATTGTACGTAAAGGCTGTATTATAATATTGTATGACGAAGCTATAGCGGATATCTGAAAATTTCAGTGGGTTAACGAAACGTTTTGCAAATTTGCGGTGAATAGGAACGTCAGAATGTAAACATTAATAGCCTTGTTGATAAAATTAAATTCCAAGGGTCAGTAGCTGCTAGTACAATATAATTTCAAAGTTGTTTACGATGCTTGATTAAATTTGTTTTTTTTTTATTAAAGAAAAATGTTACCTATGTTTGTGTTTACATACGCACCTGTTGTGGTTTCCCTGTTAAGGAGCAAAATGAGAAATGTTCATTTGTCCTTTACGTAATAGTACTGATTTGGGACCACATTTCCACTTTTCTTATAATTTGTATGGTGCAAAGCCCTTTTATAATTTTCCGTCTTCAATGGGAGACCAGATTAAATAACTTTATCTGGACTCTTCATTGGGTGAATCCACTAAGGTTGTACTATTACTTTAATAGGAATGTTGGGTGTGAGGTCGTTGGTTAGCGTTCTTGACTATCGATTATGCTGGATGTTAAAATTGTGTAAGCTCTGCTCAAGTTAAACTGGTTTGAATACGTCAAGATTTAGTGCACCTACCTGGGCAAACAACATTGTTTCTTCTCTATAAAGTAGTAGCCTTCTGGACAGTTGCACCAGCGCCCTCTGCCGTTACAACATTGTATGTAGCCACAGTCGCTTCGTGGACTGGCCAACTTGTAATCTCCTCGGGATGGACATTGGTGCGCCTGTACTACCTGCAATCAAATTAAATGTGTTTTTTTATAGTAAAATCTAAAATACCAATTTAACTAATGAAATCATCAATCCAATAGACGATAAAATAACAGTACATTATATATTACACATGTAGCTTATATACGAGTATTTCCACCTAAAGTTTTGTTTATTTAAATTTAGCAGTAAGAAAAATATCATTGTGCTGGCAGAGGTTAAGTTTTGAATATAAGGAACTCTATAAAAAGTGAAAGTATACATATTCATCATTATTCGACCTGAATTAATTGTAAATATTAGGTCAACGTTTTATTCATGCTAAAAAAAATATTGAAAAACAACAACTAAGCCATCTGCATCCAAAATAAAATAACAGCTTGGGAGCCCTCATGTTAGTTAAAGAGACCAAAATACTGCAAAGGATCCGAACAAGAAATTAATAAAGCAATATTGCAATTGAAAGATACAACAATATCGTTGTTTGGACCAAGCTGTTGAGTACCTCGAAACAGTTTATTTTAAAATCTGCTTTGTGTTTTAGCAGAGTACCTTAAACGTTATGAGAAAAGAGAGTATCATTTAAATATTTAGTTTAATTGTTTGTGGTATACAGTAAGTTATATTATTATCCGCAAAAAGTCAAATTTCAAAGACGCGATTTATAAATCTCATAAAAACATATTGTTTTAGTTCATGTGTTACTAAAAATAATATTTTGTAACAGTTGTTTTGTCACTCTAAAAGAAAGAAATCAAAATTCCTATACACTTTTTAGCTATCTTTGAGCCAAAATTGTTAGATTTAAGATTATTTGTATTTTATATGAAATAAGTAATTTTTGAAATTCATGCAATTAATAGTTTTCGAATATATTTTAAGATGTTTAGCAATTTTTAACGTTGTTCAATCAAATATCTTAATATGTTAAAATATTACCTTAGCCTCCCATCTATATGGACCAGCTGTCACCAATGTTTTATTATAGTCAATGGTTTTACTAAAAAAAGAAAGTAGTTGCGTGAGCCAGTTACAGAATGCGCTAGTGTCTAAAATTCGATATTTCACCTAAGGTTTGTTGCTGACATAGTTTATGGGTCATAACAGTTGCTATAAGACATAATAGGTCGTTCCATCAGTGTGACTTGGTAAAAAATATCGTTTATTTGACAGAAATTAGCATTTAGTTCAGCGCAATCTGTCGGTGGCTAACATCAACTACAACAAATTTGATTTAAAAACTTGCTACATCTTTAACATAGGGATGGACTGTCTAAGGTATTTTATATAGATATTTTTCATTAACCCATATGATCAAAAAGGTCACTTTCTAATTTATAACACAATCATTTACCTATAGCACACTTTCAAATTCCATACAATACTTACACACAGGATGGCGGAGAGCAGAAGTAGCAGTGTGGACCACATCCCCTCCGGGTTCAAAGAGGTTCAACAACCAGACATAACCTATGAACAAACATGTTTGTCTGACAACATCATTGACCTTAGTTAATGTCAAGATGTGTCACGGCTGTGTCGTTAAACCTACAGACTCTTAATTCTCTTACCAGTTGTATATACAGTATACAATTGTTGTGAATATTAATTTCGGGATGTTCAAATGTTTTGAATTAAATTAGAAAGATTATGTTTTGTAAAGACAATGAAATTTTAAAGTGGATTCAAAGTAATTTTGGGTTATAAAATATATCAGATTATGGTGTAAAAAAGATTTTATTAATCTAACATCATTGCGGACATTTTTCACCATGATTCGCTTACGTGACAACATCACGTAAGAAGAAGAACAACGTTTTAAAGAAGTTTTTAGACGTTCTCACAAATAACGAAACGTTTGTTGCGAAGTGTCCATAATAATTTCTAGGATAGCCTAAAATCACTATCACATAAATTTAACTTTAAAAATTTGTTTTATTCGTGTTGGCCTTCTCGAGTTTGCCTTTTTTTACAAGGTTGTAACCTACATGTTAAGAAAGATTGAGGACGTTTAATTTGAATTTTATTTTACGAAGTCAAGCCTGCAAAAACAATAGTTCTAAAAAAAGTATAATTATTTTAGGATAGTTATCTGTAGTGATTTGTTTGAATTACAAGTGAAATTGCAACCAATAGGAGAGGGCCCCAAGGTTTATAGTCATTTAATTATCATTAATCTTTTCGTAACAACATAAGTTGCCAACGAGACTTGATATGAACCACCTTGTTTCAATGTGTTATTCCCTGCAAAAGTGTAAATAGACTAGTTAAAACTACAGTTTTTTGTTTGTTTTTTTATCTTGGATATAAGTTGGAAATATTATACATTTGAATAATAAGTGAGTTTAAAAACGATATTTATTAAAAACCTAACATTTAAGTAGTGTCAGTAGGGGTTTTCTGTTAATTTTTTTTAGTGTAAAGTTTTTCCCCTATATTTTACATAACACTAAAACCCAAGTTGTCCATTATACTAGTAAAATAAAGACTGATTAGTAACTTGTGATAGCACTTCTAAGCCTCAAAAACCATCAAACAAACGACAACAATTTGTATCGTGAATATTATTAGAATTTAACTATGAACAAAATAAATAAAAATTTCGATTAATACTACTTTGACAAAACATACATTTATTGTACAATATCCTTCCATTCTTTCTCTCAATCCTTCCTGCAAACGTATTACTTCCGAACACATGTTTGACCAGATTGCTTACATAGTTATCTTTACTGAGAGAAATAAAAAGCAATCTTGATTGTAGCTTCTTTGTGAGCCTGCGTTATTGCTTCCGTTCAACGTTTTTTGATTATTATTACTTGGCAAACTAATATTTCGGTTATTGTTCATTAACTGGGGATATTAGAGATCATTTTCTCTCGCTCATCTTAAAACCAATATGATAAATATTATAAGTTTCATAAGCGCATGAAGGTTTTATAGGTTTTCGTTACTTAAGTATTTTGAGTTTTATTTTTTGTGGGTCATTTGATTATTCTTTTACAGTTAAAAATGCTGCACAAACGTGATGCCAGAAAGATCTTGTCTTTATACAACACTTATTTATAGCTATAAATTACTTTTTACATCTTCATAAAGGACTGTTAACATTGGTTTTAATAAAATTTAAAATGGGAACCTCACTAATATCTTATTTTATTTGATCACAAAACATTACCTTCGGTTTTTGTTGTGTGTGTAATGATGATAGAAAACTAATAGAGCGTCAAAATTTATAAACACTAATTAGCCCTTTTTAAGAGTCTATTAGTTAGTATAGTGAACCAATGTTTTAAGCTAGTAGTTTATACATTTTTGGATTGAAAAGAATTTTAAAACTACTTTGCCCACAAGATGAAGTGACGGTGAGGTTACGAGACCAAAGAGCTGTCGATCAACACAAGTGTGATTTTGTTTACCTTCATCTAGATGTCTAACAGTGCGGTACTTAATCATCAAACGTGATTGCAACTAATGAACAATTAGTTTCAAAAGTGAAAGTGAGTTGATGACGCAGGTTTCTTATGTCATCTCGTATCAAACTGAATGTAGTAACTTCTTGTTTAGCTACTCTAAAAGGCCTTCCCCATCGTTAAAGTAAAATAATAAATATTTTAAGTCTACCATTTTTAAGAATTTTCCAGATTCTAATAACGCAATAAACATCTCAAAATATAATACTTTCCATATTTATTACTGATATAAAAAGGTTAATACATATATCTATATCTATTTTCTTGAATCCAAAAGTTTATAAATATGAAAACCTGTTGCACAAAAACTACTGATTATATTACTTGTTGCTTTATTAAACTTATATTCATTCAACAAAAACATCCATAGTGTATGATATGTCGACATTATCATCCCGATCCTTCATTATATTTCAAGGTAAAAACTAAAATCAACATTTCCCGAAAAGTGTTCTGCACGGTTTTGTAAGGGCCAAGGAAGAGGAAGAAATTTCCCAGTTTTCGATCTAGTTTTTTTTTTTACAATAATCGTAGTTTTGTCGTTTTATATGTTATATTAGCACTCAGTAAAAAAATAACTGTATGTATTAATATTTATGAAATATTATTTAAACAACCTATATATTTAATTGGAAACAGTTTTCTTTGTCTCCACTAACTTTAGAGAACGGCTGGGCATATAAACTTGGTCTAAAATCAATATAGAGGTGTCTAAAAAAAAGTCTTGTTCTGTAGATGAGCCATCAAAAGAAAACGAAGTAAATACCCTTTGGGCTCTGCCAAGCGACCTTTTAAATTAACTTCCCATTTTTTTTATTTTTATGGAGGAAAATAACAGGTTTTTTGTCTCCACTAATTTAAGAGAACTAAGCTCAATCCACTGATGTTAACTAAAAGTAGTCTCACAAATAAACATTTACAATTGTTTCTGTCTTGACACATTAGTATGTGAGTAGTTTTGAATTATTCAAAAGGTGTCAACGCTATGTTCAAAGAGTGACGCAAAGTCATAACAAATTGCAAAGTGTCACTTGGCTCTTTGTTGTTGCAAATCAACAATTTCACGCTTTCAACATACCTACATACAAACATACATACATACATGCACATCCAGGTTACGGCTTTGCTTGAAATGTAGGCCTAGTTCATGGTCAGATTTATAAATTATGAATTTTAAAGTAGTAACTTTTATTCTCATTCTTTCTTGTGTCGTCATATGTGTAAGTTACCAATTGTGTGTACTATTCCATACGTCACTTTGTGGTAAGGTTTATGTTATGTTTATAGAAATTGCTAATATGAATCAGATTCAGTCATATATCAGTCTGATATGTTCTAATGTTTTTAAGGTTCTATTATCATTTTAAAAATGTACTGTACACTTTTATAACAACGCAAGCGTTCTAAAAAGTTAAAGGTATGCTTATGTTCATCTTATTTAAATCCCTTATCATATTAAGTTAGTTCTTTCAATTTTCAACTAATTATCATTACTATTTTCTGTCGACAACAGATTTTCCAATCAAGATAAGTATCGTCCAACAAAAATATCGTCAAAGTGCTTTTATGTTTGTTTTTTTTTGTTTTGCAAACGGCTTTTTAATGGTTTCAAATTAAAAGTTAAATCATGACTTTTTGGATATTTAAGGTCCCTTTAACTGATTTAACCATAGATCTTTTAATAATTAAATATTTAATTCAACACTGTTTATTAGCTGTGTGGTTTTCCAAATTATATAATTTAATACTCTGACAATTTATGTTACACATTTTTAAAAGACTACATACATGTTTTGATTCAGAACATAACCCCACTCTTTACTGAATAGTTATCAAAAGGGTACTGTTCTTGTTTGCGTAAAAGTATCGGTTGTCATAGATTTAAGGCAAGGGTAATGAGACAATTTCTTCTAAACGTGTAAAGGTAAGCAAAATGCCCTTACAAAACATGTTTTCTTATCAGGTGGAGAGTCACCGTGGTGGAGGATGCAGAAGGTCATCAGGAAGGTCACGAGGAGGATGTCACAGAGGTCAAGGTCACCGGAGACAATCCTGTAGACCTCAGCGTAGACAATCATGTCATCATGGTCAACAAGATCGTCATCACGACTGTCACCACCAAGATCATCACGATTACCATGATTATCACGACGACAACTACGATGACTACGGGGGCAGAAGTGTTCAAAGTAGAAACCAACACCGAAGTACCACAGGAAGAAATCAAGAAACGAGAAGTGCCCAGAGGATCCAACAAGAACAGACTCGTCAAAGAGATAATGTGAGTAAACCGAGACGAACAAGCAAGGACAGTCAGCAAGAAAAAAGACGGATAAAAGATGAAAATCTTAGAAGAAAGAGTAATAACGTTGCTCCTCGAAATCCACCAAATGGTCAACCGAAGACGAAGAAGCCTCGTCAGCAACCTCCTGCCAGAGATCCTGAGCCTGAACCTTAGTAGATATAATACCAGAATATGACCCCACTTTCGGCGTTTTAGAGGCACTTTTAGGGCACTTTTTATAGGGGAAAAATGAGAAAAATGAGTGGCTCATTTTTTTGGCCACTTTTTTAAAGACCCAGCTCTCGACCTATACACCCCTATATAAATTTTCTACTTTTTTAATACTGAAAAATACTTCTGGAATATGGCTCATTTTTTTGACCACTTTTTTAAAAATCCAGCTCTTGGCCTATACAAGCCTATATAAATGTTCAATACCATTGTATAACTCTATTCCACATCCATTCGAACATGTATATCTCAAAATCATGCAAGGTTTGTACGCGAACTCGGGGGCGCTCTATGGCTATGTGTAAATTATGCCTGACTCTAACGAATGACTGTGAGTGTACCTAATGACCCTAATTAAAACCAATTGTCAACATTTTCTGCCTGTCTTGTGCCAATCTGTCTGGCATCAATCTGGTTTAACCCTTTCAGTGCTATGAAACGATATATTGTTGTTTTTAAAAATCTCTAAGGGATATAGAGAGGAAGGTTATTTTTAATAAAAAGTAGCAAAACGGCCATTGGTGACCTGCATGTTCATAGGATACACTAACAACCACTTAGCTAAAAGATTCGCCCAATCCGATGATTTCGAGGTGTATGTCTAAACCCAAGGATTATGAACACCTCACTATGCCCCAGCGGTTGTAGTATATCGCTACAAACACACAGGTCACCAATTATTTGCCACACAGGACGGGGATGGAACCCCGAGCAGACGAATGCCACTGGCCAAGTGACACACGCCTTAGCCCTCTCGGCTATCTGTGCTTGAAGACTGAGGAGTCAAAAACTGGTATTTAAGCTAACACCACTGATCGCGAACAGATAGCGCTACAGATGGTTGTTCAATGCATTACTAAGTAGCAGCACTAGTTAGTCATGGACTATTTAGATGATATTTTTCAGTTGAAACACAACAGTGATCATAAATGTGTTCCAGAGACTTTGCTGCAAAATATTATTTTTCTTAAAATAGCTATAAGTTATTAAGATAACCTTGTCTAACTAAATCAAAGTTAAATTCAATATTACGTTGTAAACTATATGTATTTTGATTTTATATGAGATTTTGGTTTCAAAGAATGCTATCAGAACATACAAAATTATAGGAAAACTGGGAAAATTATTACAAAAACTAAGTTTTATTTAATGTTTACTACAAATACTGGGATTTATCTTTGTTCTATATTTTCTTATTGTCTTATTATTCAAAATTAGCATAATTATTAAAATAGTGACAACATTACAGTTAAAATTCAACAACATGTAATGGAATTAAAAGTCTTACAAAATATGAACTATTGGCCTAGCACTGAAAGGGTTAAACTGGTCTGTCTAGGGTAGGTTTAGACAATTACCAAATATGTTTGATTGATTGACCTTAATTATTCAAATTGTTAAGTTTTAAATTAATTTAGACAATTTTGTGATATAAAAAAGGGAGATTCTATAGTATCATCACTCACTCTTCCACCTGGATCTTCTTGTTTTGGTAAGTCTTTGATATGTAAGCCTAGTAGAAATAAGTTGTCGTGTGTCGGGTCATGGGATCAATTGGTTGCATAATTGATGTTTGTACTCATACTCTGTATTTCTTTTAACTTAGGAGTGTAGCTAATATTCCATTTCTTAAACACTTGGCTGATTTTGGTCACTAAGGAACTTGTAAAAAATATATACAAGTTATTTCTTAAAAACTTAGCCGAATTATACTCACTGGGGAAGTTTGAGTGACTTATTATTTAAAAACTTAGCCGAATTATACTCACTGGGGAAGTTTGAGTGACTTATTATTTAAAAACTTAGCCGAATTATACTCACTAGGGAAGTTTGAGTGACTTATTATTTAAAAACTTAGCCGAATTATACTCACTGGGGGACTTTGAGTCACTTATTTTTTTTAAACTTAGCCGAATCTCAATCACTGGGGACTTTGAGTCACTTATTTTTTTAAAACTTAGCCGAATTATACTCACTGGGGAAGTTTGAGTGACTTATTATTTAAAAACTTAGCCGAATCTCAATCACTGGGGACTTTGAGTCACTTATTTTTTTTTAAACTTAGCTGAATCTCAATCACTTGGGACTTTGAGTCACTTATTTTTTTAAAACTTAGCCGAATCTCAATCACTGGGGACTTTGAGTCACTTATTTTTTTTAAACTTAGCCGAATCTCAATCACTGGGGACTTTGAGTCACTTATTTTTTTTAAACTTAGCCGAATCTCAATTACTGGGGACTTTGATTCAAAAATATATACAAGTTATTTTTTAAAACTTAGCCGAATCTCAATCACTATATAATTTTTTCATAGGTAGTCTTCTCTATATAACTAACACTAACTCTGTATAAATGTAGACTCAGCATTCTGCTAAAAAGAGTTTTTATTTAAGATTTAGAATTTAGTTTTGATTTAGAAAATTTTAATTGCCATATATTATTGTATAAAATTGTTTTGAATATTAAAATTTAGAATTATGATTTGAATTATTACTTCTCATTAATTTAAATTGTAAAAATGTAATTTCTACTATATAGAAGATGCCAACCTATTTTTTAATTTCATATATAAAAATGAAGACCACATGTCAACATTGTTTTGCATCGCTCTCCAAAAAAAGCAACCTTATTCGCCATTACAAATTGATACATCAAATGAAGGTATGTAAACTATGTGATTTAATCTGTGATAGTAACATAGCTCTAAAATCTCATATATTACAAAGTCACAAGACTTGTAATTTCTGTAAAAGAAATGTTGTTGGTCATTTTAAAAGACATGTAAATTCTTGTAACAAATGTCCATATACAATGATTAAATTTGTCGGTGAATCGATTAAAACTGAACTTAAAAGTACTCTTCAGTCTTGTCCTCTACCAATAAAATGGACTTTAGTAAGGAGAATCAAATTTATAAAATATACAATAGATCAAAATGGAAAATTAGTTAATGAGAAAGAATGTATTGCAGATTTCAGAAGCCTTACTATCCTTACCATTGAGAAGAGAGATTTAAAGCCTCAAATTGAAAATGCTCTTTTAAAGATTGACGCTTCTATGCACAAATATCAAGCGGAAGGTAGTGGATGGATATATGACCACACTAAATATTGGCAGTTGCACGTTTACAAGTACAAGCCCCTAACTCCAAAGTCATACATTCCCACACCAAAAAGTATTAAATTGACAAAAGCAGTTTTAAATATAAAGAATGTTGATAATAAATGCTTCCTTTGGTCAATTTTAGCAGCTTTACATCCAAGGAATGCTAAACATGCTAATAGAGTCTCTAACTATGCACCCTACGTAGGTAAGTTGAACATGACAAATATAAAATATCCCGTAAAAATATCTGACATAGATCAATTTGAAAGAAAGAATAATATAAGTGTTAATGTATTTGGAGTTGAAGACCAAAAATTTATATATCCATTAAGAAGAACCAAACTGAATAGTAACACTCATATAGATCTATTATTATTACAACAAGGTCGTAAATCACATTACTGTTTAATTCGTGATTTTAATAGGTTAATGCTACGGTCAACAAAAGATAACAGTAAAAAGCATTTTTGCAAGTTTTGTTTACAACATTTTTACACCAAAGATAAATTGGAGTGTCATATAACATATTGTAAAAACTTTGATGTCCAACGAGTGGAAATGTCTAAACAAGATACATTACAATTTAAAAATTATAAATATCAACTTAAAGCCCCATTTGTAATTTATGCTGATTTTGAGTGTTTTATAAACTCTAACAACCATACTCCATCTGGATTTGCATTTGTCGTAGTAAAAGATTCTAAGATTATTTCTGAAGAGTTATATAGTGGCGAAAATGTTATGGATGTGTTTTTCGAAAGGTTGTTTGAGACTTATGACTTCATTAAAAATCAAATGGCAATATATATCCCCCTTGTAATGACTCCTGAGCAAGAGGCATCTTTCCAAAACTCAACACATTGTCATATTTGTGAAAAGCCTCTATATTTTGATAGGGTACGGGAACATTGTCATTCAAATGGCCAATACCGTGGAGCTGCCCACAATGATTGCAATTTAAACTATAAAGTAACAAAGAAAATACCAGTATTCTTTCATAACTTAAAAAATTACGATGGACATTTAATTATGCAACACTTGGGAAAGTTTAATCGTAAATTAAATTGCATAGCCAAAGATATGGAAAAGTACATTTCATTCTCTGTTGATGATTTAGTATTTTTAGATTCCTATAACTTTCTGTCCCTTCCATTATACAAATTAGCTTCCAATTTAAATACATTTAGATTCATAGACAATCCACTACTACAACGCAAAGGCGTATTTCCCTATGAATATATGACAGGACCAGATAAGTTTGCAGAGTCTCTACCTCCAATTGAAAAATTTTACAGTACTTTAACTAAAGAACATATCTCTCCCATCGAATATGAACATGCTAAAAATGTCTGGACCCATTTTAATATACATAATTTACAAGAATATCATGATTTATATCTTAAAACAGATGTATTGCTACTGGCTGATGTGTTTGAGACATTTAGAGACCTGTGTTTAAAGGATTACAAACTTGACCCCGTACATATGTATTCACTTCCAGGACTAACATGGGAAGCTTGTCTTAGAATGACTGGTATAAAATTACAATTATTTCAAGATATTGACATGCATTTGTTCATAGAAAGTGCAATCAGAGGAGGAGTCAGTATGATTTCTACACGTTACGCTAAAGCCAATAATAGATATATGGGCAAACATTATGATCCCAATCAAGAAAGTGTGTATTTAATATATTTAGATTGTAACTCGCTATACTCCACAGCTATGTGTGAGACACTACCCGTGGATGGATTTCGTTGGACGAATGAGATAGACTACAAAAACAATCAAAATGATGAGTTTGGATATATCTTAGAAGTTGATTTAAAATAC